ATTATTGTTTTTACAAGTACATATTACTGAAACAGTCTCTATTTGAAATAGTAAATTGAATTAGTAATGATTTAAATCAGCTTGGAAAACAGAGTTTTAATACTAATTAAAGTAAATTAGCGTAACATTTCACTTACGTTTCACTTTATGCTCATTTACGTTTTATGCTTTAACCTTTTTTGCTTAAATATTATTTTATAAACAATACAATACAAAGGCGTCCTCAAAATTGGCCAATCTTGTAGAAAAGTTATTCATCAATCAGATAAAATTATGTGTTTAGGGGTGTCGGTCAAAATCGAGGAATATGATTGGACAGAGAACGATTAACCCATTATCGACCAGCTTGTACTAAAATAAACTCCACTGAAGTAGTTCAGCATAGATGGTGGAAGATATCGTGGTTTTTTTTGCAAGTAAAGGGGAAGGATAGGATGGATCTACAAAAATAATTTACAAACAGTATTATTTTCCGCGGATTAAACACTAACCATACAGTGTGGTTAGTGGTTTAACTCAAGTTGTTATATTGTTTAAATAAATGGCGCTTAAATGGGATAAGTTTGGTTTTTCATCGGTATATTTGCGGTATTTCGGAGGGTTAGACGGTCACACTGCTGCTCTACCCTGCAACGAAAACGAGGGGGAACGTTGTGAGTTGCTGCGGACACCGCAACTCTACGGTTATACCCGATACTAAGTCAGTATGGCTCTCCTCCGGCAGACGCCGCTAATATTAAACGACACGACAAAGAGTGCGTGCGAGAGAGACAGAAAATCAGTCTGAGCGTGACGTCGGGCGCTGCGTAGCCACTGCAAATTGATTTCTTGCTTTTGGCTACAAAAATGATCCGATCTGATCCAGATTCAGCAACCTGATAGATATGGTCATTGTCTATGATTCTGCGTTTTTAGTTTACTCGATTTTGCAATATTGTGGATGCAACAGATTTTCGTCCTTTGTGTGGGCGGAAGGGGGTGGGGCGAAATTTTGAGATATACGTTTTATAGTGAGATCTAACAGGAGTGCGGATACCAAATTTGGTTACTCTAGCCTTAATAGTCTCTGAGATTTATGAATATCCCCAGATCTGCATCCTTTGCGGGGGCGGAAGGGGGTGTGGCGAAATTTTGAAACAAACTCGTCTCGGTCCGATATATTAGGAGTGTGGATACCAAATTTGGTTGCTCTAGCTTTTATAGTCTCTGAGATCTAGGCGCTAATGTTTTACTCTAAGCAAAGCCGCCTATGCTACGTGTGTGTTAGAGAGAGACAGGGCGAGAAAAAATGAAATTGTTTTCTAGATGCTGGCTATAATAATAATACGATCCAATTCAGATTCCGCAGTCTAAAAGATATCGTCATTCTCTACGATTCTGCGTTTTTGGTTTTCTCGTATCTTTAAAATTGTGGATGCCACAGATTTTCGCCCTTTGTGGGGGCGGAAGTGGGCGGGGCAAAGTTTTGAAATATTTTTGTAGCAGTGACATATCACAGAAGTCTGGATCCAAAACATCGTTGCTCTAGCTCTTATAGTCTTTGAGCATTAGGCGCTGAAGGGGACGGACAGACGGACAGACGAACGGACGGACAGACGGACAGACAGACATGGCTCAATCGACTCGGCTATTGATGCTGATCAAGAATATATATACTTTATGGGGTCGGAAACGATTCCTTCTGGACGTTACACACATACACTTTTACCACAAATCTAATATACCCCAATACTCATTTTGAGTATCGGGTATAAAAATGAGCAGTAATTTTCATGGGAAAAAACAGACAATACCTTGGTGAACATTCGAACATACCTTGTTTCACTGCAATTTCACAGCAGGCGGATTTTGAATTTGAATGAAAGGGCCTTGCAGCCCCCCACTTGGAACGAGTGGGGTCAGTAGCCGTAGCCGTTACCATTAGCAAAATGTAAATATTGTAGAAACGATTCAAAATCATATATTTCAAAGAAATCGATTCACTGCCTTTGAAATGTGATATACTCTTTTGATTACGAAAACAGCTGGACTAAAGGAAAATCATGACGCGCATCTTGCAGACGTATCTGTTCAATAGGTCGACACGATGAAGCTAAATAAAGCACGCTCAGCTGTTCAACGACTCGGGAATGGATCTAGAGGTAAGGAGCAGCGAAGAGGAGCTCGATTGTCGGCCCCCAGAAAATATTCTTCCCCCGCTTTTCGGACCAGTTAACCCTGAACCTTTGTAACTGAAGAATTTCTGGCATTCCCAAATATGATTACACATGTGCCGTGCCATGGACTATGACTCGATCACGCATTAAATTAACTTTGTAAGGAGGATTAGCAGATCCCCTGATCATTCTTTAACTTTTTCCAGATCGAAAGCAGAAGTCACAGCATCAAACGTTCGGTGGCAAATGACTCAAAGTGAGCCTCTTGTCCAGCTCTGGACACTTCGACATTGACATAGCCTATAGCATACCCGCCATAGACAGCGGGGATGGTGTGTTATCAGCGGCCCCAGTGGCGAGGAATAGTGACATGAACAAGGACTCTATATCAGCCTCCTGGCTCTTTGACGACCAAGAGGACTGCACGGCGGATTAAAAACTTATATTTATTAATTATTCAGCCAGGCTTACCTTTTTCACAACGAAAAATATTGACTCACCAAACGAGGTGAAATATTGGTACCCGACAAATTTAGGGTAGAGCGTCGCTTGGCTGGCGCGTACACGAAAACCACACAAGAATAGCAACGAACAGCAATGGTGACAAGCGAAAACGAACGAGGGGGAACGTTGTGAGTTGTTGCGGACACCGCAACTCTACGGTTATACCCGATACTAAGTCAGTATGGCTCTCCTCCGGCAGACGCCGCTAATATTTAACGACACGACAAAGAGTGCGTGCGAGAGAGACAGAAAATCTGTCTGAGCGTGACGTCGGGCGCTGCGTAGCCACTGCAAATTGATTTGTTCCTTTTGGCTAAAAAAATGATCTGATCTGATCCAGATTCAGCAATCTAATAGATATGGTCATTATCTATGATTCTGCGTTTTTAGTTTTCTCAAATCTGCAATACTGTGGATGCAACAGATTTTCGTCCTTTGTGGGTGCGGATGGGGGTGGGGCGAAATTCTGAGATATACGTTTTATAGTGACATCTTAAAGGAGTGTGTGTACCAAATTTGGTTACTCTAGCCTTAATAGTCTCTGAGATTTGTGGTTGCCTCAGATTTTCGTCCTTTGCGGGGGCGGAAGGGGGTGTGGCGAAACTTGGACATGAAACGGTCAAGGTCCGATATCACAGGAGTGTTGATACCAAATTTGGTTGCTCTGGCTTTTATAGGTTCTGAGATCCTTGAACTCATATTTTGCAATTGGCAAAACCGACCATGAAACCTGTGTGTTAGAGTGAGACAGAGCGAGAAAGAGTGAAATTGTTTTCGTGATTCAGGCTGTAATAATTATACGATCTGGTTCAGATTTTGCACTCTAGAAGATATAGTCATCTTCTACGATTCTGCGTTTTTAGTTTTCTCGTATCGTCGAAATTGTGGATGCCACAGATTTTCGCCCTTTGTGGGGGCGGAAGTGGGCGGGGCAAAGTTTTGAAATATTTTTGGAGCAGTGACATATCACAGAAGTCTGGATCCAAAACATCGTTGCTCTAGCTCTTATAGTCTTTGAGCATTAGGCGCTGAAGGGGACGGACAGACGGACAGACGGACGGACGGACAGACGGACAGACAGACATGGCTCAATCGACTCGGCTATTGATGCTGATCAAGAATATATATACTTTATGGGGTCGGAAACGATTCCTTCTGGACGTTACACACATCCACTTTCACCACAAATCTAATATACCCCAATACTCATTTTGAGTATCGGGTATAAAAATTTCACCGCTGTTGTACTGAAGAATGGATGTTGTGTATACGGATGCACCGACAACGATTGACGCTAAATTGAATTGCGGGGCATGACTTTGTCTTAATTGATAGTTGGATCCTACTGACACCAAACGAATATAACCGACGAAAACAGGAAACCGGGCACCCCCCGGCCATGCATCCCTCGGCATATAACAGTGTCTCCTTGGATTGGGGTAATTTCACTGAGAGTTTTCTTCTCTCCGCCCGACTACCATTCGCCAGCATCCTGGCAGAGACATGACCGTGCCAGGACCTGTTTCCAGCCGGCCTCACGGGGATAGTGTAGTCGCACTTCCACCGGTGTGTACCGAAAACATAGCCCCGACCACATTTCATTGTATGATAAGATTCGGTTATGTTATCAAGAACCAGGGCTAGTGCACTTATTCATTACTGGGCCACAGAGCACACATTAATGATGATAAAAATGTATAATAATATACCATATAGGGGACTGTTCCCCTATACTCTCATTAATTACTGGAAGAAAGGGTGAGCCTATTTCTATTATCAGTAAAGTTAAAAGATCATTGATAAAGTAAAATAAGATTGGAAAAATATTCCCATAGCCCCTATCTGTGAGAATTCACCTGTAAATTATATTAAAAGCCGGGGCATTACCAGATTCTTACTGGCATCGGAGTCGCTTCAAGTTTCTTAAAGAGCTCAGAGCACATCCGCTTCCACCACCGTATCCACGAGGGACTCCATCGGGTAGACCAGAATGGTGGCCAAATTTTTCGAGTTAACCCACTTCTTTGGCATTTGTTGATCCATATTGTATTGTTTCATATTATTTACAAGCAAGCAATCCATGCCCCACAAAACCCCAGATGTCAAATTCGATGTCGTGTGAGAATACTGGAAAAATATCAGTATAGTCCGGAACGTGCGGAGTAAAACACAAAAAAATAAAATTTTAAAAATTCTAAATTCCGAGGAATATTTATTTCGGTTTTTCTTCCATTAGGTTTAAGCATAAAGTGATTATTTTGTTTATACAAAAAGCAAAAAGTGAAAAAAAAAAAAAATCAAAATTTGGACCATTTGAAACATTTCAGTTGATTTTGCCATCTCTACGTCGATCACAACGGAGCTCAGGTTCAGCGACTGCGCTGGTACACAGAGGTTTCGTTTGCTTTCGGTTTGCAGTGCATCGAACACAGTGAAAGCATAAATGGTGTTGTGGTGGTAAAGTTTGTTTAAATTTTAACTTTTCTAGGCGGCTGATATCACCACATGCTACACGGCTCGACAATCGTCTAGGCAGGACACTACGTTTCCCGGGCAGTGACATGGATGCCACAAGACATGAAAAGATATCGGAAATTAAAAACTATTCGCAATCCAATAGTTGCACATTTTTGGTCGATGAATGAAGAAGCGAATGAAGTCATTGCATTATTTACTCTATATTTTGATACTAAGAATGATTATATTTTGATACTAAAAATGATTATATTTTGATACTAGAATACACAAAGATATCTAATTATTTTTATTGGCAACGAATGGGCCAAAAATATAAATTTAAATCATAGCATAGCAATCATAGCGCTATTCTGTAAAATCAAAATAAATTCACATAAGATCGACGCGGACTAAGCAGAAAACGAGGGGAACGTTGTGAGTTGCTGCGGACACCGCAACTCTACGGTTATACCCGATACTAAGTCAGTATGGCTCTCCTCCGGCAGACGCCGCTAATATTTAACGACACGACAAAGAGTGCGTGCGAGAGAGACAGAAAATCTGTCTGAGCGTGACGTCGGGCGCTGCGTAGCCACTGCAAATTGATTTGTTCCTTTTGGCTATAAAAATGATCTGATCTGATCCAGATTCAGCAATCTAATAGATATGGTCATTATCTATGATTCTGCGTTTTTAGTTTTCTCAAATCTGCAATACTGTGGATGCAACAGATTTTCGTCCTTTGTGGGTGCGGATGGGGGTGGGGCGAAATTCTGAGATATACGTTTTATAGTGACATCTTAAAGGAGTGTGTGTACCAAATTTGGTTACTCTAGCCTTAATAGTCTCTGAGATTTGTGGATGCCACAGATTTTCGCCCTTTGTGGGGGCGGAAGTGGGCGGGGCAAAGTTTTGAAATATTTTTGGAGCAGTGACATATCACAGAAGTCTGGATCCAAAACATCGTTGCTCTAGCTCTTATAGTCTTTGAGCATTAGGCGCTGAAGGGGACGGACAGACGGACAGACGGACAGACGGACGGACGGACAGACGGACAGACAGACATGGCTCAATCGACTCGGCTATTGATGCTGATCAAGAATATATATACTTTATGGGGTCGGAAACGATTCCTTCTGGACGTTACACACATCCACTTTTACCACAAATCTAATATACCCCAATACTCATTTTGAGTATCGGGTATAAAAATTTTGTGCATAACCATAAATAAAATTGCATTTCCATTTACTTTTAACGTTTCTTGGGTTCAGCTTCAGAATCAGGAGCAGGAACCGGGGCCGGAAGTCTCCATTTGGTCAATTGGCAATTATCCCGGACAATGGCACAGCAGAGGCGCGTATGATTCGTATGATAAGCACTTGTACCTGGTTGCATATAATTATCCCTGAAATAACCACACACCTCTATGTTTCATTTTGTATACAAATCTATAATTCTCAAGTTTATCAAAATATATTAACTTCATTGTCCTTTGTTTCCTTTGAACTAGAGATATGCCGACATGCTTTCGAACAGTAGGAGCACAAGCACCTCGAGCTCTGCTGATACTATTGAAGAGATACGTTCAAGATACGCTCACTTCGAAGATCCTGACCCCAGACCCCTGACCCGATCCGATTACAGGAGGAAATGTGTTTACCTGTTTGAATAGTCAGCGCATTAGTCTAATCGTAAATTAAGTTTATAATTTTCTTCAATAAAACGAACCTGTAGTTTTTTGTGTTGACTGTTACTAAACTGTTTTGTGTGCACCAGATCTACACTTGAATTGTGTTAGTCGCTTAAATTGATGGGGGGGCTCTACAATGCTTGTATTTTAGTCGTGTGAAATGTGCGGACCTGTTGGATGGCGAATTAGTTGTTTCAACATAAAGTTCAAATTTTGTTTAATAATACTAACCTGTAGTTTCGTGTTCAGTCTTTACGTATTACGAGTATATGTCGTATGTCAGATGTACAAACATGTGTAAGTTTACTTTATGCTTAACTTTAGTAAAAAAAAAAAACGAATCACTTTATGCTTAAACTTATTTGAATAAATTAATCCAAAATAAATATTTCTAAAAATTTTAAATTTTATTTTTGTGTGACATTTGGGGTTTTTGGCATTAGTTGATCCATATTGTATTGTTTCATATTATTTACAAGCAAGCAATCCATGCCCCACAAAACCCCAGATGTCAAATTCGATGTCGTGTGAGAATACTGGAATAGATAATACTGATAGATATGGTCATTATCTATGATTCTGCGTTTTTAGTTTTCTCAAATCTGCAATATTGTGGATGCAACAGATTTTCGTCCTTTGTGGGGGCGGATGGGGGTGGGGCGAAATTCTGAGATATACGTTTTTTAGTGACATCTTAAAGGAGTGTGTGTACCAAATTTGGTTACTCTAGCCTTAATAGTCTCTGAGATTTGTGGTTGCCTCAGATTTTCGTCCTTTGCGGGGCGCCATAGACAGCGGGGATGGTGTGTTATCAGCGGCCCCAGTGGCGAGGAATAGTGACATGAACAAGGACTCTATATCAGCCTCCTGGCGCTTTGACGACCAAGAGGACTGTACGGCGGATATTTATTAATTATTCAGCGAGGCTCCGATTATCACTATTACAAAGCTTACCGATTTACTTTTGAAATCACATAAATTGGGGTTACCTTTTTCACAACGAAAAATATTGACTCACCAAACGAGGTGAAATATTGGTACCCGACAAATTTAGGGTAGAGCGTCGCTTGGCTGGCGCGTACACGAAAACCACACAAGAATAGCAACGAACAGCAATGGTGACAAGCGAAAACGAACGAGGGGGAACGTTGTGAGTTGCTGCGGACACCGCAACTCTACGGTTATACCCGATACTAAGTCAGTATGGCTCTCCTCCGGCAGACGCCGCTAATATTTAACGACACGACAAAGAGTGCGTGCGAGAGAGACAGAAAATCAGTCTGAGCGTGACGTCGGGCGCTGCGTAGCCACTGCAAATTGATTTGTTCCTTTTGGCTAAAAAAATGATCTGATCTGATCCAGATTCAGCAATCTAATAGATATGGTCATTATCTATGATTCTGCGTTTTTAGTTTTCTCAAATCTGCAATATTGTGGATGCAACAGATTTTCGTCCTTTGTGGGGGCGGATGGGGGTGGGGCGAAATTCTGAGATATACGTTTTATAGTGACATCTTAAAGGAGTGTGTGTACCAAATTTGGTTACTCTAGCCTTAATAGTCTCTGAGATTTGTGGTTGCCTCAGATTTTCGTCCTTTGCGGGGGCGGAAGGGGGTGTGGCGAAATTTGGACATGAAACGGTCAAGGTCCGATATCACAGGAGTGCGGATACCAAATTTGGTTGCTCTGGCTTCTATAGGTTCTGAGATCCTTGAACTCATATTTTGCAATTGGCAAAACCGACCATGAAACCTGTGTGTTAGAGTGAGACAGAGCGAGAAAGAGTGAAATTGTTTTCGTGATTCTGGCTATAATAATTATACGATCTGGTTCAGATTTTGCACTCTGTAAGATATAGTCATCTACGATTCTGCGTTTTTAGTTTTCTCGTATCGTCGAAATTGTGGATGCCACAGATTTTCGCCCTTTGTGGGGGCGGAAGTGGGCGGGGCAAAGTTTTGAAATATTTTTGGAGCAGTGACATATCACAGAAGTCTGGATCCAAAACATCGTTGCTTTAGCTCTTATAGTCTTTGAGCATTAGGCGCTGAAGGGGACGGACAGACGGACAGACGGACGGACGGACAGACAGACAGGGCTCAATCGACTCGGCTATTGATGCTGATCAAGAATATATATACTTTATAGGGTCGGAAACGATTCCTTCTGGACGTTACACACATCCACTTTTACCACAAATCTAATATACCCCAATACTCATTTTGAGTATCGGGTATAAAAAAAATCAAAATTTGGACCATTTGAAATATTTCAGTAGATTTTGCCATCTCTACGTCGATCACAACGGAGCTCAGGTTCAGCAACTGCGCTGGTACACAGAGGTTTACGTTTGCTTTCGGTTTGCGGTACATCGAACACAGTGTAAGCATAAATGGTGTTGTGGTGGTAAAGTTTGTTTAAATTTTAACTTTTCTAGGCGGCTGATATCACCACATGCTACACGGCTCGACAATCGTCTGGGCAGGACACTACGTTTCCCGGGCAGTGACATGGATGCCACAAGACATGAAAAGATATCGGAAATTAAAAACTATTCGCAATCCAATAGTTGCACATTTTTGGTCGATGAATGAAGAAGCGAATGAAGTCATTGCATTATTTACTCTATATTTTGATACTAAGAATGATTATATTTTGATACTAAAAATGATTATATTTTGATACTAGAATACACAAAGATATCTATCTAATATCAACGAATGGGCCAAAAATATAAATTTAAATCATAGCATAGCAATCATAGCGCTATTCTGTAAAATCAAAATAAATTCACATAAGATCGACGCGGACTAAGAAGAAAAAAATGTTGTGCATAACCATAAATAAAATTGCATTTCCATTTACTTTTAACGTTTCTTGGGTTCAGAATCAGGAGCAGGAACCGGGGCCGGAACTCTCCATTTGGTCAATTGGCAATTATCCCGGACAATGGCACAGCAGAGGCGCGTCGCATCCATCCCAGGACACTGAACGAGTGTTGGACATTATCCAGCGAATTCTTTGGGAAAAGAAACCTGCGCCATGCCCCAACATGATTCGTATGATAAGCACTTGTACCTGGTTGCATATAATTATCCCTGAAATAACCGCACACCTCTATGTTTTATTTTGTATAAAAATATATAATTCTCAAGTTTATCAAAATATATTAACTTCATTGTCCTTTATTTCCTTTGAACTAGAGATATGCCGACATGCTTTCGAACAGTAGGAGCACAAGCACCTCGAGCTCTGCTGATACTATTGAAGAGATACGTTCAAGATACGCTCACTTCGAAGATCCTGACCCCAGACCCCTGACCCGATCCGATATCAGGAGGAAATGTGTTTACCTGTTTGAATAGTCAGCTCATTAGTCTAATCGTAAATTAAGTTTATATTTTTCTTCAATAAAACGAACCTGTAGTTTTTTGTGTTGACTGTTACTAAACTGTTTTGTGTGCACCAGATCTACACTTGAATTGTGTTAGTCGCTTAAATTGATGGGGGGGCTCTACAATGCTTGTATTTTAGTCGTGTGAAATGTGCGGACCTGTTGGATGGCGAATTATTTGTTTCAACATAAAGTTCAAATTTTGTTTAATACTAACCTGTAGTTTCGTGTTCAGTCTTTACGTATTACAGGTATATGTCGTATGTCAGATGTACCAGTAGAACGATTGAGAGATTGGACGATTGACAGAACAGATGACTCTTTCCCGCCTGTGTATGTGGCCTGTAGGAATATGCACACATGTACAAACATGTGTAAGTTTACTTTATGCTTAACTTTAGTAAAAAAAAAACGAATCACTTTATGCTTAAACTTATTTGAATAATGTTCGGGCGAAGCCCGAGTGTAAATTTTATACCATTGTTTTATTGCCTATCAATTCACCTTCTTTTCTATTTTGGTCATTATACTAAACTAACGTAACGTAAGCGTAGCTTTATCTATGCTCGCTCAGCAACATGCTCTCATTTAATCATCTATTCTTATCTATGCTCGCTCTTGTTATCTTTTCTTTCCTATGCCGTCGCTAAGCCGTCAGCAGCTGCGCCTGCTCTAGCAGTTACCGCTTGATATAGTTGGAGAACAGACCCTTTTTGTCCCCAATCTATTACTTTGGCTCGAGATCGGCTCGCTTGCCTCATCCAAGTGTGTCACTCTAATACTATTGTAAAAGGCTCTGGCATCTTCGGCCACCCTCAACACACAAAATACCTATAATAAAATTTATAACGTTTTCGGAAATTAATAATTTGTGAAATTATTGAACAATCATAGTCAGCGAAAAAGCTCGTTGTCTCAACATTTGGTGACCCCGACGTGATCGTCAGTAACAATTTGGAAATAAACAATTATAAACAGTGAAAATTATCCGCTAAACATAACTGTTCGAACGCGAAGCGGTTAGTTCCCATTTCGTCGCGCGCTTGCTTACAAGCACTAATACAGCTACGTGCATTAGCGGCTTCGGGTTCGCTGCACTTGCGCTTGCATACCAAAAAAAATCAAACGGTTGGTTCTTCGATTCTTCTTTGTGCTTTGCTCGCTGCTGCCTGTCGAAAATGGATGAGTCTAATGACGTGCCGGAAAACAGGGTGTCTTTTTACAAACTAAAGGCACTCTCAATAGACAACAAAGCCGTTTCACTTCGAGAGACGATATTGAATGATGAAAACAACCCAATCAGTGAAGATGCGCTAAGTGTTCATTTAAAATTCTTGGAAAAAATATCCGACTCATTTAATGTTACGCATTCTAATTTAGAAGAGCTTGATGTAAGCGAAATTGGCAGCGACTTAAGCAACAATTTTGAGGATTTGGCGATGGAAATCGAAGTTCGTATTCGCTCAGCACTCCGCAGGACTACCCAGAACATGCCGCATCACTCAACGATACGACCCGAGCTCAACGTTACTGCCTCCGGAAATGTACGGTCACGATATCATATTCCTGACATTAAACTTCCCACTTTCCGTGGAGGTTATACTGAGTGGGCAGACTTTTACTCGATGTTTAGCACAGTAATAGATCAGGAGCCCTTTCTATCAAAGATTGAGAAGTTCCAGCACCTGCGCTCATGTTTGGATGGACCTGCCCTGGAGGCTGTTCGCTCTTTGGAAGTATCGGAGAGCAATTATGATATTGCATTGGACATTTTAAACAATCGTTTCAATAATAAACGTTTAATCTTTCAGGCACACGTCGCTGAGATTCTGAGGCATGAGAAGGTTGAAGATGGGTCAACTACAAAGCTACGTACTTTATCGGACAAGCTTC